TCGCGAGGGGCATGAATGAATACCCTGAATGTAGGTTAAACACCATCACTTTCTACTGTGTGTGTGTGTGTGTGTGTGTGTGTGTGTGTGTGTGTGTGTGTGTGTGTGTGTGTGTGTGTGTGTGAATTTTGACTCTGAAACTCGCGCGTGCCCAAATAGACACTCCCACACCATCCCACTTTTCTTCCTCCGACACTCCCCCTAAACAGAGCTGGACACGCCTACTTTTCTGACTTTTTCCAAAGTAGAGGTGTGAAAACACCCTGCTGAAACGAGGGGGTTTCATGGTAAACTGAAGGAAGCCAGTGTTCTGGTTTAACTGGTGTCCGTGTTAACTCTGGCCCCTTTTCAAATGTGCAAACTATCCACGTTAGCAGATTGGTCACTTTTTCACAGCAACAAAACATGCCCATACCGAATAAAGATTCTTATTACTTGGTGTCAGTGTATCATTGTTGATTTAATATGTGTGTGGCAGAACAGCATAAACCAAAAATAATCTAAAGAAATAATTATAATTGACATGTCATCAACGGGATTTGAACCCAAGTCAAAAGATTCTGCACAAGTATCAACCGACTTATCCAACTGAGCTACTCCATTGTATAGGTAAAGAATGGTTTTGGTATCTTTAACAGTCAACATATGCCGTGCTTTAATTGTTTCCATGTACTTGCATTTACATGTTTTTATGCACTCTCACACTGATATTTTCTCAGAATAGCTCAAATTTATTTTATAGCAGTTAGTCAAACCATGATTTTTATAGTTGTAGACTTGTGGAAACCTGTCTACAAAGTCACACACAAGCTGGATATTATTAATATTTTCCAGTGTGTGTGTTACATTCCGGGTCACTAATGGTGTGTGGTACATTCTACGTCGCTTCCGGGGTGTGGTACATTCCCTTTCCGTTGGGGATCTGTAATTGTAAATTTGTTTCGGGATTTGTAAAAGTGTTTTGCGTCTTGTTAATTTGTTTTCTAAAATGTAAATTTGTTTCGTTCTTTTTAAAATTGTTTTTCCTATGTAATTGTGTCTGATGATAAGTAAAAATGTTTTTCAAAATGTAAATTTGTCTTGAGCTTTGTAAAAGTGTTACAAACTTTGGAATGTTGTTTTGCGCTTCCCGGCCACCGTAATAATAAATAAATATCACAAAATAAATATAATAATAATACAAAATATACATTTCCTTCAATTATCATTGTTTGTAAACATTTACATATAAATGTATGGTAATAAAATATTGCAATAAAAACTGTTAGAAAATATATATTTTTGGTGTTTGCATGTTTTTGTGATTTTTTTATTTTTTCTTTGTGGTATAATCTCCCATCTATAGAGTGACAAAGACTTGTGGGTAATGTAGTTTAAAATATTTTTGTAATATTTTGTAATAAAATGGAATAAATAATATCTTTAATGAAGTCATTGTGCATATTATTAGACTTTTGTTTTCAATAGCGATTTAAAGAATTTAATATAGGAAGTCCTCGGCTCTGCATAGGTATTATTAATCAGAAGATGAGTGTACATAGTTTTTTTTTCGTTAGGAAATGCAGTCTTGAATTTACAAACAGTCGACAAGTCCCGGAAAACAGATCAAGCGCATTGATCAAATGTAGTTTTCAGTCATGCTCATGTAAAAGTCATATTCAACTCGTTTTGTTTTGCCTTCATTCATTTTTGTGTTCAGACGTGACATAGGCCTAACGCATAAATCTTCAACACATGATTTATTTACAACACGTTTTTAACCTTCCTGTCATGTTCGGGTCAAATCTGACCGATTTACAGCTTAAAATCACTCTTAAATATTGTGTTTTACATCTGATTGCCTCAAGGCCTTATGATATTCTACACACTCTGCACTTGAACATATAAGTGATGATCACCTCTTTCATTGAATTTTGAGTGTTTTAATCAACCTTAAAAGTGACCACCATAGGAAATGAATGGGCATCCAGACTCATCCATTAGAGAGAACACATTACTAACTCTCTAACTTCTTTCTTTCAGCTTCATTCATCTCTGTAGCAGGAGCACTTTTAGCGTAGCTTAGCGTCAATTATTGTTTTGGATTAGACCATTAACATCTTGCTCAAAAATGACCAAAGTTTAACTAGTGCTAGTTCTGTGTCCATGCTCATCGCCTATACCGTCAGTCCTTATATTAGTACACTAAAACCATCCAATTGAACGACTGAATGAAAATTTGAGCACTCAATATACAGGAAAGTATAGCGTTTTGTTGTGCTTTGCTCGTTGATAAATCATTCAGATGAGTCAAAATTTCTATTTCTTTGGTTAGACCCTGTGATAATTATTTTAGCGAGCTGTCTATCGCTAATGAAACAAAGTATTTTGATTTCTGTCATCTATTGTTCTTTTTGTAATACATTTTCAGCGCCTATTTGTATTTTTGCTGCAGTTATTTTATGTCTAACTCTGAATTCAAGTTAAGCACTACTTTGAGACATTGTTCACAGCTAAAGAAGTTTGAATGCAAATTTGATGGTGAACGTTTTTAGTTTTTTTGTGCTAATGTAAGAGCAGTTAAAACAGACTGATCAATTTTGACCGGGAACACTAAAGTAAGGGGCGAGATGTGAATATGACAGGAGGGTTAAACATTATAATTTAACCAATTTCTAATAACTACTTTTTAATCTTTCCCATGGTGACAGTCAGTGTATAATATTTAGCTATTTTGCAGACAGACACAGTCCCTTTAATTATTCTATAGTCTTTGATTCAGATGTAATTTTAGACTTCACTAGGTTAACTATATGAAAGTTGGAAGTCAAGTTATTGTATAACTGGTTTGTTATGTAGACAATGAAAAAAAAAAAATAAAATTCACAGTAAATATTTCTTAAGCAGGCTAATAATATTGACCTTTAGATCACTCTAAAAACATTGTTTTAAATTAATGGGAGGGCAAGAAAATGACTTCCACAGCATCTGTTAAAGTTTACAGATGTAAAAATGTGTCTTGATGTACTTGAATGTTAGAAATGTGTTATCCTACAATACAAAGTGACTTGTCAAATAAATTAACACGGCAGATTATTTTGAGTTTATGTTATTTAATTATCTAGTTTATTAAGACTGCAGAGTGATGCTTGGAGAAAAAAAAAGACTGAATATTATTTATTATTATTTGAACCACATATCCTTCTACCAAATCTAATATTGGATTTTATTTTAAATATATGTGCGTGTCATACATTTAAAATAAAATCCAATATTAGATTTGGTAGAAGGATAAGTGGTTGAAATAATCGAATACATAAATTGTTTATTATGTATATTAAACAATTATTTTAAACGAAAATATTAAAGATCATCGTTCTCTTTGGCTATTGGATCCGATACTTGCATCATTCTCGTCACTCCTGCAGCTGCTGCTTGGAAGAGAAGTGCGGTGCTTCCGCCTTCCTCATATCTGTGGTAAGAATTCCAGCTGAATTAAATTGATTTCATTTATATAAAAGGCCATGTTACATCAAATATATGGCCAAGCCTGTGTATTGCACACTTATAACTTCCTGGCAAGGCTACACTGGAAAATATTTGTTTACAGTTTCTGTATTTTGTGTTTGCCGTTTTTTTATGGTTGTAGATTGCATTATGAGACCTGTCTGCTCCGTTGACATGAAATAATGTTTAATAAATAATATAGGCTATATATAAATGAATCTGTAAAATAACAGAAAATGTACTGACAGTTTATTACAAGTTTTTGCAGCATAATATACAACACTAGCCCAGAAAATATAAATAAATAATAAAACTTGAATCACAAAACACAGAAAACTGTAAATTTACAGATATTTTTTACTGTGTACTCGACATTAATCCAATGAAAATCTCAAAAGGAAGGCTTGTTTTGTATGAGAAAATGTTTGCGTGTTCCAAATGTACTCTTATTCTGGCTCTGCTAACAACTACAAAATTAAAGATAAACTAAAACAATAAAAACACACTAATTATAATTATTACTATTATTATATAGGCCTAGCTTGGAAACAATTGTACAAACTAAGTGCTGCTAGCAAAACTTTTGCTCAGCAGGTGCATAGCAGCAAATTTGGTGGCTAACTAAAACTGATTTTAACTAGCCACTATAGCGCTGGTTGAAAATAAGTTTTAAATTGTAGTTTTTCTAAAAGCAGGGTTCGACAATACCCAGCAAGCAATAGCCGTCATTTCACCGGCTAGGTGAAGCATAGACCAAATTTAGCCCGGCTACGTGTAACCCAATTTTAGCCCAAATAACCTTAAATTTGGTTGTATGTTGTTTTTTGCTAATAGAGCTCATTATATGTATGATACTCCATCATGTAAGCAAAGTCAATAAGGTTTATGAGGTTCATGCAAGTAATAAACGTAGTTTCAGTTTCTCGGTGAAATATAGACCCAATCTAGTCCGGCTATGTGTAACTCGTCTCTAGCCCAAAAAAACTTACATTTGCTTACCTGTCTTTTTTGGCAAAAAACTTTGAGATATGTAAGATATTCCTTTAAGTGAGTAAAGTCAATCGCATTTACAAGGTGTTTGGGCTTTTAAATATGTTATTTTCATAGTCTATGCGTAGCCTTGAATTAGCTCGTCATCCAGCTGGCTATTTATAGCCCACTGATAGCCTAAACTGATTCACTGTAGTATTTGGTCGTGCAGCGTGTTCATCACGTACGCATTATCAGTACTACATCTATTAGTGTTAAGGTGTAATTTCGTGACATGTTCTATTTATAGCCATAATTTAACTTTGAATTAGATGGGCTTTGCCCACCTCGCAAAATTGACATAAAAATTAATTGACTGCCTTTTTATTTTTAATAAAAATGTATATGGTATAACATATCTTGTTTATAATATCTTACGGCAAAACAAGCCAGATCTAATCAGTTAAGAAAAATCGACGCAGTTCCATCTTCCACTCGATAGATAGCGGTATTGTCTAGTCGGCTCGGTTGAAACGGACCAACAAATCAAGAGGAAGAAGCTGTTGTGGTTTAAAATTTGTAGCGCAGAGTTGGATTGCGAGTTCAAGTGGCCTACAAGGTAATGTAATCTGCTTTAATATCATTTTATTTGGCAATGTTTTTAATCATATGTGCAAGGTTTAATATAGTATTACGCTAATATCAATGCACAGGCACCCTTTATTCCAAAAATCTTAGACAAACATAAAAACAGTGTGAGGGAGTGTTATAATCTTTTAAACACGCAAAATTAAACATTTATTAAGCAAAGTTCGGTGATTAAGTGCATTTATTGTGTACATTACGAGTCATCTGAATTAAATTGCCCCATGAAGTCAATTAAAAAGTCAGTCATGAAATGAGACTTCTGCAGTTTTAGCTTTTAAATCATGTTTGTTTCTGATTTCATAACAAGAGACTTTTAGAAACAAACAAGCACCAAGTTAATTCTGTTTTTAGAGAATCAATTCAAGTTAATTTCTGTTTTTTATATTATAAATAAACTTTACTATGTTATGGAAAATGTATTTTTTTTGTAAAATGAGTAACTGTTTTTTGACTTGTCACAGTAAAATCTAGTATAAAATAAGCTGATAGTAGTTGTTATTAGTATTATTATTATAATGCTTCTCTAATATTTGTAACTTATTTTTTTTCTCCACAGATATTTGAGTGTGTCCATGTAAAATGAGCAGTCTAGCAGGTATGAGTTGCCTAAACACTTTAGACTAATACATTTACACTATGACCACATTTGCTGGTTTCGCTGTCCAAATGCAGATTGCCCATGTGCATTCACAAGCTGGATGAAGCGTTCGAGTCACATCAAACACACAGAATAAATATTAAACAATATATATGCATTATCCATATAACTGCGGTTGACATAAAGAAACATTGAATATAACACATTGATGCTAAAATAGTTAAAATAAGTGAATAAATAATTTAATTTAAATGTGTAAATAAGTAATCTGCTTTAAGCTGTAAACCTGTGGCTAATTATTTTTATGTTGATAGGTGTTTTTTGTTCTAGTTTTAATATGTAACCATCAAGCGTGATTGTGTCATGAACACCTACCTCATTTGAAGAGTGTGTACATCTACCTCAATGAAGACTTGTAAAAGAATATGTGGTAAGTGTGTCAACCCATCTTCCTTTTATAAACATATTTGTAAAACTCACAGGACTGTTACAGGACTGAGTTTAGAACACATCTCAGTATTTTTTTCCCTTTTTCTCCAGGACTGAAAGTGCATTGGCTGAATCTCAAAATGCACACACAGCAGTGGAGATCTTTATTGTTTGGTCTGAGGATGCTGGTCCTGGGGATATATATATATATATATATATATATATATATATATATATATATATATATATATATATATATATATATATATATATAGCTTTTATTAATAAAAGCTTTGTTAAATTAGTTTGAATGGATTGTATTTTTCAGAACCTGTTATTTAAAAATGTATGTGTATTTTTGTTGTTTATTAAATGTATAAACAGTCATTCATTAGCTGGGATTATAATGACTTGTTTATGCTTGGCCTATGGTTAGACGTCTATTAGATTTTCAGTGACAGCCCAAATTTAACCATTATTTAGCCTAGACCAAAATTCACCGGCTATTAGACGTAAATGTGTAGCAGTCTATTAGCCGTCTAAATCACGTCTAGTCTAAACTTGGGTATGGTTAGACGTCTATTAGATTTTCACTGACAGCCCAAATTTAGCCATGATTTAGCCTAGATGTCTAGGCTATGTTTAGACGTCTTTTAGACCAAAAAATGCTTGCTGGGAAGCCCAGTTTGATGAACTATTGTCGTGAAGGCTGGAGGATTTCCCTCGGAACACCGAAAACAGGTTCTACGTCACAATCACGCCCACACAAGAGCAAGCTTCTGATTGGTTAACGCGGCGCAAATGTCCGCTAAAGTTCAGATTTTCGAATTTAAGAGATTCGCTCGAAACGCTCAATACGCCTTGCACGTATCGCGCTATTTGCACCGCGCCATTCGCGGATCGCGCCGCAGGATGTCTATTCGCGTGTTTGCATTGACTTAACATGTAAATCACTCGCGCTTGATGCGCGTGCCGCGTCTGGTGTGAATGCAGCATTACAGGACCGAGTTTAGAACACATCTCAGTATTTTTTTTTCCCTTTTTTCTTCAGGACTGAAAGTGCAGTGGCTGAATCTCAAAATGCACACACAGCAGTGGAGATCTTTATTGTTAGGGCGGAGGATGCTGGTCCTGGGGACAGCCCTACAAATGCTGGTGTAGAAGTTCTGCAGAGTGTCACAATTGGATTGGATGGACTTTTTGGGTTCATGTACACTTAGGGGTTTTTTTTTAACCAGAAATGAAAACGTTTAATTATTTATGCTGTACCAAACATTGATTTGTCTTCATAGTACAAATTAAGATACTTCAGGCGAAATCTGAGAGCTCTCTCATTCTCTATAGACAGCAATGGTCCCAACTTGTTTAAAGTCCAGAGAAATGTCTAAAACATCCTCAAAACAGACCACATGCTTTCAGTTGTTCAATCAGAATATTTTTAAGCTACAATAATAATTCTGAGCATATAAAGCAAAAATAACAGCCTTTGAGTTTCTTCTGTTAAACAAGATATTTTGAAGAAAGCTGAATACCTGTAACCATTTACTTTCATAGTATTTATTTACTTGTTTTCAGCTTTCTTCAAAATATCTTCTGTTTAACAGGAAAAAAATCTTAGTTTTTATCGTATTTGTTTTGTCATAACTTTGACATTTATATATAAATATATATATTTTTTTATTTTGTATTGGTTAATGTTGCTTTTATTAATAAAAGCTTTGTTAAATTAGTTTGAATGGATTGTATTTTTGAGAACCTGTTAATTAAAATGTTGATATGTGTATTTTTGTTGTTTATTAAATGTATAAACAGTCCATTAGCTGAAATTATTATGACTCGTTTATGCTTGGGCTGTACTTAGACGTCTATTAGATTTTCACTTACAGCCCAAATTTAACCATTATTTAGCCTAGACCAAAATTCACCAGCTATTAGACATATGCATGTAGCTGTTGAACAGGTGTCTAAATCACGTCTAGGCTAATCTTGGGCTATGGTTAGACGTCTATTAGATTTTCACTGACAACCAATATTTAGCCGTGATTTAGCCTAGACCAAATTTCACCAGCTACACTCTCAGAAAAAAAGGTACAATGAGGGTACAATTTTGTTCCTAGAGGGAACAAAATATAAAATTGTACCTTTAAAGGTCCCATATTGGTCCTTAGGGTACAATTTTGTACCCAAATGGGCTATAAAGGTACAAATGTCCAGATTTAGGTTTGAAAGGTACATTTTTGTACCTTTTATAGCACATTTGGGTACAAAATTGTACCGTAAAGGACCAATTTGGCACCTTTAAAGGTACAATTATATATTTTGTTTCCCTATAGGAACAAAATTGTACCCTCAGCTCATGATAAGATCAAGACACTATATAACAATAATTTAAATGTATTAATACTAAACATTAATACTAAAATACATGATTTAAAAATATAATAAATAAATAAATTGATTGAATTAAATATTTTCATAATTATTTTTTTTCATGTATTTACATTACATTTTTTCTCAAAAATGTTAATAATTTAATTTATAATTAAATGTAATTTTAATCATTTAAAACGTAAATACTGGTCTTTGCTTACTGTTTAAGTCGCTATAGTATATATGGGATGTAGAATAAACCATGCAGAGTGACAGCATCTTCATACAGGTGGTGATGGTGCTGTCTCTTTAAGAATTTGGCTTGTTGAGACGTTATAGTAGTGTTTGTTACTGAGGCGGTCCGTCGACTATGCTGGCTGTTTACACAGAACTTCGCACGCTTTTCAAAGAAAAGTCTATTTTGGAGTCCACACTTTTCAGGTAAGAATATATTAAAGATATATTTTCAGTCTCATTTTTACATGTGAAGCCGCGTGTTCTGTTGATTTTGTCTGACTCTCGGGTCTCGGCTTTCCCCCGCTTTGTGCTCCGGGCTGGCTGATGTACGTTGGCCTGCAGGATGGAGTTTGCTAAGATGTCTGCAGCTTATTAAAGAAGTTAATACAATGTGATATCGAAGTCACCGAGGGACATAACCTTATAGACGGTGAGTACTATATGCTGTTAGTTTTCTCGGTGTAAAAGTTCCCTTTATCGCCTACGTTACGTATTCGCGCCTTATATGTTACGTAACTGCTTTATTAATAAGTGTTGCCACGGCGGAATATTATCGCAACCCAGATAGCAAAATACACTTGGGCCAGTTGCGGCTAGATTCTCGCCTGCCCGAGTCCGTCTGCTGTATCGTTACTCGGGCCAGATGCGGCGGCAGAAGCGAGCCGACGCTGCCGTAACCATGCACCGGAATCGGGCCGTGAGTAATGTGCGGTGTGGCCCAGAGCTGCCGCGACTGAAGTCTTCATATACCTTGATATAAAACCTTTTGTTATTAATACTGGAATTTGTAATTATCAATAATGTTTTATATTTTGAGGCCATTTTCTAGCCACGGTTGACCGCGGAAATGTATTTTTAGAAGGTTATATACACCGCCATTTTGTGAAGAAAAATCACAATTTTGTCACCGACAAAGCGACTGATTATGTAAACGTGGCTAGTTACAAACGTGGCGTGTGTATGCATGTACATATCTTCGTTTCAGTGTCTAAGTTACATTAATGTTGAGGAGTGTCCACAAACTCTTATGTCCAGAATTGTTGGTGCTTTACTATCGTTTAACGTTATACTTATATATAAATAAAATACTATAAATAAATAGTTATTGCTTTATCTTATTGCTTTCCTGAAGTTTATGAAGTTTCCAATTGTCTTTCAGGACAAGATTGAACAACATAATGCAGCCTAACAGCATTAGACCAATGAAGGCATGTCATATGAAAGCATGGCTCAGTTACAAGATGTAAGTATGTTTCATTATCTATACCATGGTTTTAATGGCTTACATACTATTTTAAATTTGTAGGTTTTTACTTACAAACAACAATAAATGTACACCTACGTGTTTAAAATTATTTTCTAGGTTTTCATCGAAAGATGAGAGATCAACTGAAGAATGCTATGGACCTGACTCTAAGGTACTCTTTCTAAACTTTCTCCACTTGATTAATATTATTAAATTCTAGCTTTGGATGGATTCCTTCATATTTGTTTGTATGCCACATCTTATGTTCCAGGAATTGATTTTACAGCAGCACTTCTCATGTTGCCAGCCTTGTTAAGCGAGACACTTCAACATTTCGTTGTGCTCTGGTGCGTATGTTGTTTTCTGTTTAGTATATGCTGTGATAAATGCATTTTATAATGCTTGATATTCTTTATATTAAGATGATGCAGTGGGTAGTGCTGTCACCTTACAGCAAGAAGGTCGCTGGTTCGAGCCTCGGCTGGGTCAGTTGGCATTTGTGTGAGGAGTTTGCATATTCTTCCAGTGTTCGTGAGGGTTTCCTCCAAGTGCTCCGGTTTCCCCACAAGTCCAAAGACATGCGCTATAGCTGAATTTGTTAAGCTTATTTGTCTGTAGTGTATAAATGTGTGTGTGAATAAGTGTGTCTGGATGTTTCGTAATACTGGGTTGCAGCTGGAAGGGCATCTGCTGCATAAAACATATGCTGGATAAGTTGGTGGTTCATTCCACTGTGGCGACCCCAGATTAATAAAGGGACTAAGCCAAAAAGAAACTGAATGAATGAATGAAATTTATATTAGTCTTTTAATCTGTGATACTTTTTTTTTTTAAATCAGTGAATATTAATTATTTTCCTTTCTATGCATGTTGATTTTCTCTTCATCAGTGATAGAGTGACTGATATTAGTGTAATTATTGCTTTGTCATTTACAGGGAATCATCTTCATCACATCCAACAGTTCAAGTACAGGAGGAGGCCACCGACTGGACAACTGTGTTAACAAGACGAGTCACGGCAGTCTTCAGAGTTGATGGGATTGCGATTGGCCGGGCTAATGATGTGGACGAATATACATTTTTGACATATCCATCTTATTAGAAGATCACCTTGATGTTTCTGCAGTGGAATGTTTTGAATGAACTGTGGACAGTGACAAGCCTGGATCTACTCCAGTTACCAGAGTGATCAACCTTGTTTTTTGTTTCTCTACATGCTCTTGGGATAATCACAATCAAGTTAATCCAGCACACTGCTATCATTCATGCATAAAGCAAATTTTTAAATAACTTGTGGTCCTAATGACTATCAAAGAACATTTTCCAGATATGAGTGCTTTACATGTCGTGTTTATCAAAAGCATAAACACATATTGTGTTACAACAAATTACAACTCCACTTGAGGATGATGAGGAGTAATCTACTGATGTTGAGGAAGAGGCTACTGATGTATTTGGTTTTCTGCACTGTTGAAGCAATTTATAGAGAAACATTGCCTTCATTCTGAAATACAGAGAAAATTTTGATGACAAATTATTTATTATGACTGGGTATTCTGACTAAAGACAAATACTTTGGACTTTATAAAGTGAAGTACTTGATGTAGCCTGTGTAATGTGTTTATGAATCTTAAACAGTATTCTTGTGGTCTTTGTATTAAGGGTAGATTATATACTGTACAGTGAGTGAACAATTTTTATTTGTTATCTAAATTGTTCTTTTTACTGTTTTACATGTCTGCTTTATATTTACTGTGTAATTTTATTTCTTGACACATTCAGTTGTGAGTTGTAATGAAATATTTCTACATTAATAAATAAAAATGGACATCTGCGAACCGAAATATTTTATTTATTTATTTGTGCATGCAGTCACCAAAGGATCAAAATGCCTGGGTCAGTACCCTGAAAATGCTATATAATATAAAAAGGTACATTTTTGTACCTTCGGTGGGGGTACAAAATTGTCCCTTAAAGGGTACAAATGGAGAAGGTACAATTTTGTACCTTTAAATAGAGGTACAAATTTGTACCCTTAAGGGTACCACCCCAGTGACGGGCCATTTGTACCCTAAAAGGTACAATTTTGTACCTTTTTTTCTGAGAGTGTATTAGACGTATACATGTCGCCGTCTAAATCATGTTTAGTCTAAACTTGGGCTATGCTTAGACGTCTATTAGATTTTCACTGACAACCCAAATTTAGCCTAGACGTCTAATAGACGTCTTTTAGACAAAAAAAAAAATGCTTGCTGGGTATACACACAGTATGTTTCACCTGCTTTCATTTGCTTACGATATTATTTGCTTTTATTGTTAAAATGGTTTATTTATCATAATTTTTTTTACAACATTGCTTTAAGGGGAGCTTTAATAATCCGAGAAATCTTTAGCCAGGACAAATTACTGTGCATATTTTTTTTTAAACATGACTATAGTTATTTTTTAAAAGTCAATTGCTTTTCCTTCAAGTAATGTTTTTTTCAATAAAGAGTTTACAGCTATACTTTGCTTGTTTTGACACATTAAAAATTTGTAGCTAAGAAATTATTTTGTGTTGTTATAAAGATACATTTGGTACATAAAAACATACAATACCAAACATTTGAGTAGTAAAAACTAATTGCAATATAACACTATAAAACCATGACCCATTTACTCAGCCTCATTGAGCAAACTCACTCTGCACACAAGAAAAGTGAAATAAATGAGGACGCATGTGGACATACACAACTTAAATCAAGTAATTTTAGCATATTAACGTCAAATTTATGCATACAAAACATTTTTCCCAACAACAAAATTGTGGCTAGTGAAATAGGAGAGTGGCTGGTTACATTGGGGGGGAGAAAAAAAAAAAAAATATTATATAATTATATGCCTGAGGACTACAGGACTAATTTTTTTTAAGGCAACGTCAGGAGCTCAGATTTGGTTGGTCTGAGGAAAAAAAAAAACTGGTTTCAAAACCACCAACATATGGATAATGAATTCCAAAAGTCATTTATCCATTTTCCTACCCTAAACAAACTAAGCAAAATCCTGTTATTTAATTTTTTGGGCAAGTGGGGAAAGGGGGAAAAAAAAATAAATAGACAATGTATTTGCATTAAGCATTTATTAAAAAGGTAAAGTCAGTGTAGGGGAGACGCTGGCAGAGAAAGACAAAAATCAGCTCCTACGACCTGCAAGAGAAATTAACCCAAAGCTTGAGGCAAGCGAAACACTAGTAATGCAGCTTCATTGCCTAGTATAATAACTTACGTGTGCAGCAGTATTTGACTCTCAGGTACTTGTATGTGCCATAACAGGGATCAGAGAATACACTGTTGGTGGCTGGTACATTGCAGCTCTGACGTCCATCACACCTACACAATGACAAATTCATGAAAACCATTTGAATAAGAACAGGACTCGATTAATTCCAGCTGTAGCTACAATATGCTCAAACTGACCCATTAGCAACCAGATATCAGTTAATGCACAACACAAACAAAGGTCTGTTAAATCCATACCATGATGACACTATGGACAGAGAGCTGGATGAACGGCAGTTGGTTTTTCTGATTTGATGTGGTGGACGATTCTTAATGCAGGTTTTTCTATCTGTACGGCCATAGTTTGCAGCAAGGATCCTTATCTTAGAACCTAACATGGGGGGTGGGGAGAGACCATGTAAAATTCGGAAAAAAAAAAAAAAAAAAAAAAAAAAAAAAAAAAAAAAAAAAAGCAAGATACGAATTTAATGCATTGCGACTTCATCTTACCAGGACAGGACAGACGCAGGATAGAGCCCTCACATGCAGTTACAGTTTCTGAGAAATAAAGGGTTTCACATTACAGCATAAATGGAGCAAAGAAATTAAAAACAAAAATGTCAAGCATTACTCTGTTCATGAAAATTGAAGTTTAGGTTTCTTAGAACAACAAGCTCTTACCAGAGGACCTCCTACAGTAGTCATAGTCATGACCGTGACCATGATCATGTCCACCGTGACCATGTCCATGATGATCATGTCCACCGTGATCATGTCCGTGACCATCATGTCCACCACTCACTGATATCAGCAGGTTTGAGTTCAGTAAAATGACTGAAAAACAAACACAAAAGAACTGATTAAGACACCCGTGTACTGCTAAACACATTAGCATTATAATGAACACAACTTGAACCACAGGGAAACTGATCCCAACACAATAGTGTTGCCAAAAACTAAATTCACTGCACATCTGCTTGTCAAACCCAAAAAGAAACTCACAGGTGAACAATAAGCTGAGCGAGAACATGATTCTGCTGTTGTCTTCCACTGTGATTATCGTCTTTACTGATTCAAATTTATAGGCCGCTGGTGTGAGTGGTAATGAGCGACACCTGTGCGCAACACCGGTCTGCTGTCCCACAGAGGACAACAGGAGGAGGAGTGACCAGCGGATACAGGTTTATTTTTTTATTTAAACAGTTGCGAGAAACACATAGGCCTCATCTCTACAACGTGCAAATTTAGGCAACTTGTGTACATGCCTGTGTGTGTGTTTAATAATAATAATTTTATTTATACTATGTTTATTTATATATATAAGAGGCAATAGGTAGTGCTGTCACCTTAAAGCAAGAAGGTCGCTGGTTCGAGCCTCAGCTGGGTCAGTTGGCGTTTCTGTGTGGAGTATGCATGTTTTCACTGCGTTCGCGTGGGTTTCCTCCGGGTGCTCCAGTTTCACCCCAAGACATGCGGTACAGTACAAGTGAATTGGGTAGGCCAAACTGTCTGTAGTATTTGAGTGTGTATAGATGTTTCCCAGAGATGGGTTGCAGCTGGAAGAGCATCCGCTGTGTAAAACGTGCTAGATAAGTTGACAGTCCATTCCGCTGTGGCGACCCAGGATTCATAAAAGGACTAAGCTGAAAAGAAAATTAATGAATGAATAAATAATGTAGTATGCTATTATTGAGTCACAATATGGCGTTAAACAGTCAGGAACAGCAGAGGGCAGAAAGATATTGATATATGATATTGTGAATATCTGTGGCGAGGCAGTGGCGCAGTAGGTAGTGCTGTCGCCTCACAGCAAGAAGGTCGCTGGTTCGAACCTCGGCTCAGTTGGTGTTTCTGTGTGGAGTTTGCATGTTCTCCCTGCCTTCGTGTGGGTTTCCTCCGGGTGCTCCGGATTCCCCCACAGTCCAAAGACATGCAGTACAGGTGAATTGGGTAGGCTAAATTGTCCGTAGTGTCTGAGTGTGTGGATGTTTCCCAGAGATGGGTTGCGGCTGGAAGGGCATTCATTCCGCTGTGACTACCCCGGATTAATAAAGGGACTAAGCCGACAAGAAAATAAATAAATGAATGAATTTATATCTGTTTATAATATCAAATCAACAATACTTATAGTCTGACATAACATCTCTAACTGCATCATACATATAGATGCGAACAATTGAGAACAAAATCTCTAATAACTTGGGCAACAAGAAAACAAAGGTCAGACATAACAAGAGGATATTTCTGTGGTCAAGAGAACCAGAGGGGAAATTCAGCTCCAGTCCAGCAAGAATCTTTTGGTCTAAAAGACGTCTAAACATAGCCTAGACATCTAGGCTAAATCACGGCTAAATTTGGGCTGTCAGTGAAAATCTAATAGACGTCTAAGCATAGCCCAAGTTTAGACTAGACGTGATTTAGACGGCTAATAGACGGCTACATATATACGTCTAATAAGCAGTGAATTTTGGTCTAGGCTAAATCACGGCTAAATTTGGGCTGTCAGAGAAAATCTAATAGACGTCTAAGTACAGCCCAAGCAAAAACAAGTCATCAAAATTTCAGCTAATGAATGACTGTTTATACATTTAATAAACAACAAAAATACACATATACATATCAACATTTTTAATTAACAGGTTCTCAAAAATACAATCCATTCAAACTAATTTAACAAAGCTTTTATTAATGAAAGCAACATTAACCAATACAAAATAAAAAAATATATATATTTATATATAAATGTCAAAGTTATGACAAAACAAATAAGATAAAAACTAAGATTTTTTTCCTGTTAAACAAGATATTTTGAAGAAAGCTGAAAACATGTAAATAAATACTATGAAAGTAAATGGTTACAGGTATTCAGCTTTCTTCAAAATATCTTGTGTTCAACAGAAGAAACTCAAAGGCTGTTATTTTTGCTCTATATGCTCAGAATTATTATTGTAGCTTAAAAATATTCTGATTGAACAACTGAAAGCATGTGGTCTGTTTTGAGGATGTTTTAGACATTTCTCTGGACTTTAAACAAGTTGGGACCATTGCTGTCTATAGAGAATGAGAGAGCTCTCAGATTTCACCTGAAGTACCTTAATTTGTACTTTGAAGACAAATCAATGTTTGGTACAGCATGAATAATTAACTGTTTTCATTTCTGGTTAAAAAAAACCCTTTAACTGTACATGAACCCAAAAGTCCATCCAATCCATATGTGACATTCAGCAGGTTCTGCAGAACTTCTACACCAACATCTATAGGTCTGTCCCCAGGACCAGCATCCTCCGCCCAAACAATAAAGATCTTCACTGCTGTGTGTGCATTTTGAGATTCAGCCACTGCACTTTCAGTCCTGGAGAAAAAGGGAAAAAAAATAAAAAAAAGTACTGAGATGTGTTCTAAACTCTGTCCTGTAACAGTCCTGTGAGTTTTACAAATACGTTTATAAAAGGAAGATGGGTTGACGCACTTACCACATATTCTTTTACAAGTCTTCATTGAGGTAGATGCACACACTCTTCAAATGAGGTAGGTGTTCAGGACACAATCACACTTGATGGTTGCATATTAAAACTAGAACAAAAAACACCTATCAACATAAAAATAATTAGCCACAGGTTTACAGCTTAAAGCAGATTACTTATTTACACATTTAAATTAAATTATTTATTCACTTATTTTAACTATTTTAGCATCAATGTGTTATATTCAATGTTTCTTTATGTCAACCGCAGTTATATGGATAATGCATATATATTGTTTAATATTCATTCTGTGTGTTTGATGTGACTCGAACGCTTCATCCAGCTTGTGAATGCACATGGGCAATCTGCATTTGGACAGCGAAACCAGCAAATGTGGTCATAGAGTAAATGTATTAGTCTAAAGTGTTTAGGCAGCTCATACCTGCTAGACTGCTCATTTTACATGGACACACTCAAATATCTGTGAAGAAAAACAATAAGTTACAAATATTAGAGAAGCATTATAATAATAATAATAACAACAACTACTATCAGCTTACTTTATACTAGATTTTACTGTGACAAGTCAAAAAACAGTTACTCATTTTACAAAAAAAAATACATTTTCCATAACATAGTAAAGTTTATTTATAATATAAAAAACATAAATTAACTTGAATTGATTCTCTAAAAACAGAATTAACTTGGTGCTTGTTTGTTTCTAAAAGTCTCTTGTTATGAAATCAGAAACAAACATGATTTAAAAGCTAAAACTGCAGAAGTTTCATTTCATGACTGACTTTTTAATTGACTTCATGGGGCAATTTAATTCAGACGACTCGTAATGTACACAATAAATGCTCTTAATCACCGAACTTTGTTTAATAAGTGTTTAATTTTGCGTGTTTAAAAGATTATAACTCTCCCTCACATCGTTTTTGTTTGTCTAAGATTTTTGGAATAAAGGGTGCCTGTGCATTAATATAAGTGTAATACTATATTAAACCTTGCACATATGATTAAAAACATTGCCAAATAACAGGATATTAAAGCAGATTACACTTACCTTGTAGGCCACTCGAGCTCGGATTCCAACGCTGCGCTACAAATTTCAAACCACAACAGCTTCTTCCTTCTTCTTATAATTTTACGGCGGTTGGCATCCAGCGTTTTGGTGCATTACCGCCACCTTCAGCTCCGGAGTGTGGACCAGAGGTTTAGGTTTACAGACTAATCATTTCCCCCACTTCCCTCTTTCCCACCCCTTCTCATACACACACATACATACTTACATACACACCTCTCCCCTACTCCCATGTTATAATAATAACCATATTACTCTCATACTACTACTTACACTAATACCATAATAATAATAACCACCACATTGCTCTTACCCCTACTTTTACTTCCACTACTTAGTTATATTAAACTTTATTCCCTTTACCTTATGAGTTAAATTATTATATCCTATCATAAACACCTGTTTCTCTCAGATACTTTATAAGTATTCTGGTCTGAATCCTGTCCTTTATATTTAGTAAACCTTTTAATGTTATTTCCTGAATCCCTATTTCCCTTAGATCTTTTCTCATTTCCTCCCTCTGCTTTTCATATCTTTTGCATTTTAGTATCACATGTTCAACTGACTCTTCTTCACTACATCCCTCACATAATCCAGTTTCATGTTTTTGTATCAATTTAAGTGTTTTATTTAATAAACAATGACCCAATCTTAATCTTGTTATCACTATTTCTTCTCGCCTATTACCTCTACTGACTCTTTTGTGTTTAACAGCCTTTTGAACTACATACAAATGCCTTCCTTTCTTTTCTCTGTCCCACTTCTCTTGCCACTTTTGATTTATTCTTACCCATATTAGACTCTTCACTTCTGCTTTACTAACCCTTATTTGCATTTCTACATTTTCTTTTGATAATGCCCTTTTTGCTAATTTATCAGCCATTTCATTTCCCTTTATCCCTACATGACCTGGAACCCATATAAATCTTACCTCCTTTCCCTGACTTGTTATTTTAGTTATACACTGGAGTACTTCATACAAGATATCTTGTCTACTTGAAGAAAATGATCTTAGACTTTCAAGAGCTGATGCTGAGTCTGAACATACCAAAATTTTTTCCTGTCCTGTCAATTGTACCCATCTTAATGCTACTAGCATGGCTAGCATCTCCACTGTGTACACTCCCACATTATCAGATGTCCTTCTATTTATTTCAATTTCTTTTGCTAGTATAATAACCCCCAATCCAGACACTCCAGTTTCTGGGTTCTTTGCTCCGTCTGTAAAAATCTGTGTGTACTCTTTGTATTTTTCTTCGACCCTTTGATTAAAGATTTTTCCCAGATTTATGCTTTCTCTTGCCTCTTTCTTTTTCTCTAAAATAAACCAGTCTACCTCTGGTCAAACTAACATCCATGGTGCAATTTCTGGATAAATGACACTTGAACTTATTTTCATATCAAACACTCTTAATTCTTTTGCCACCATGTTTCCACACCGACCAAAATTCTCCTTGTGACTTTTCCCATTTTCCCAACTATCCTGTAATACTGTTTTAGTGATAT